TGATTTATGGTTTTGATGATTAGACAGGATAGATTATAGAAAGAAGAGAGTCATGATGTAATTTTAGAGAGAGGAGTTAAAATATAATTGTACTTATAACTGCTGCGAAGAATATTGGAAGCTACTTCTTTATACCTTTATATCTTTCTTTACATCTTTCTCTCTTTTTTCCCCCTATTTTCTTCTATTTTCTTTTCTTATTGCACTTTTAGCTTTTTCTGTTATTTCTTTTTTTCTTTTTTGTTTTCTCTGTTCTAATCTGGTTTGTATTAGTTCTTACTACTGTTCTTAAAACTTTTAATAAAAGTTATATATAAAAATGTACTTTAATGCTGTACACCTCCTGGAAATGCAATAAATGATAAGTGGCTGGAAGTCTTTTAATAAATGAATAAAATTACCTGAACTGAACTACAAAGATCTTCGTGTGTATTCACGTCCAAACTGCACGAGATTATTGAATATAAATTTCCATTCTATTGAATCAAATGCCTTTTCAATAGGTATAACGTATTTCCCAATATTTCACATTAGGTAATAGAGCTATAACCATTTTTAGAATCATTATTTGAAATATAACATACATACACAATGTTTAGTTTAAATGTAATAGTTTTGCAATTGGTAAGCGTCAATTAATCTTACTGCATTGCTGGATTCTCCTGAGCGTATGTCACTAAGCTGCACGTACTTCTTGGGCGGCTGTTAGATTAGAGCTCCTGGTTTATCCAGAGTAACATGAGCATGCTTCAAACAAAACTCAGTTGGGATCCATGTGTGGCATACCGGTAAAAATGTGCCCCAAATGGCGGTTACGCGTCCTTGCCAGTAGCAAGGAATGTTGGACGCGGCATCAGCACGGCTCAGCTCGGTAACCTAATCTACTCTGTGTGTGCTTTAATAAAAAGAATTATGCAAAAGCCTTGGATGACAAAAGGCGTGATGAACAGAAGTCCACATCTATGCCAATCATGAGGTATGGAATACAAGCAGAGGAAATGGTAAAGAGCATGAATCTGTCAAACTAAAAGAAAGGGGAAGGACAATAGATGTGAATGAAAGTGGTTTGATCTTGTGGAGATATGGAAAATGCACATGTGGAAGTGAAAGTGTATATTTAATTATGAATGAAAGAGCCAAAATGCATCTCATAAAGTATGAACCAGCATCATCTAAGTTGTTGTGGGTGTGGACAAAAACTAGAATTGGTTGGTGATATAGTAGTGATGTGTTACGCTACAATGAATGGCAACAACAAAAGAACCAGTGATCAACTCTGGAAAAAACTGTTGGACCATCTGAATGAATGCAATCGGAGGAAATACGTTATTCCATTAGATAAATGAGCAGATGGGTGGGAATAAAAGGGAACAGTGTAGAAAAGATTATTGAGCCATTCAGAGACCCAGGAATGAGCATCTGTTTATAAAAAGGTCTGTTTCAAATCCACAGTTGAAGCACAACTCTGCACATGGAAAAGGAATGAATTGAAAATCATTACTTATTTCATTGCTTGTGATGAAAAACTAAAGAGAATTAGTGAAAGAAGCAAGAGGAATGAGAGATTCTGAACGTGGAACAAGTCACTATTTAGGAATGTGAGCAGTAGACTTTGAGGGGAAAATGGACATGGATGAAGGAACGGAAAAAAGCTAGAGTGAAAACACAATGCCTACAGGAAGAGAAAATACGAGTCCTATATGAATATGCATTAGAAGACAGATTATCTGTCAATAAAATGAACAGAAAGTGAACACAGGAAAGAACACGTGGAAGCTGCTTATGTTACAGACGCTTATGTAACATCCTATGACAAAGGATGTTTGGTGAAATGATGAGGCAAAATAAATCATGGATGAGAAAAAATGCACATCAGAAAATGACTGCTTAAAAAAATAAGGAGAGAGATATATTGTACCATGCGTGTTTTATTTATTTTGCTTGCATGCTGCCCATTCCCAGAGGCTCTGGGTGGCTAACAACATCAACATAAAATAAAATATAATCCCCAAGCCCCAGCGACGATAACAACAACAAATTAAAAGCCAGGAGCTGTGAGTCTATGCCCAAATTGTGGGCCATCTTGTGCAGGGCAGCACAACCCCATTCAGAATCAAAGATGGAATTTCTCTGGAACAGTTAGGTCCACAGGCCCAAACGCCACTCCATCATGGAGGGACTCAAGAGTCTGTTCCTCCCCATCTAGACCCTGACAGGCTCCATGCACTGGAACAACACTTCTACCACTTTCCCTGTTTGGTCAGGGGATGAGATGCACAGTCGGGCAACATTAGCCTATTGATGGTATTGAACTGCATGCCAACAGAGGACCTCCTCCATAGGTTTCATGGAGATATTAAGTGGAGAAAGGAGAGATCTTTGAACATTCTGCAGAGAAGAAGCCTCTGGGCAGTTCTCCAACCACCACCACCACCACCACCACCAACTGGGACCACTCTTCAAGGAGGAGAAAAACCACTGCAAAACTGTGGCTCCCACTCCAATCCCTCAGAGATGGATACCATAGTTGCACAATGCCTTAAAAAGGGACTACTGGGTGGCATTTGGCAGACACAAAAAGGGCAGCAAAGTATCTCCTAGAAAGAAAAAATGCAGTTGCAAAGAAGGTAGTCAAGGTGAGCAAGGTAGAGTCAGTTGGCATCAAAATTGAATAAATCAATAAAATATTAAAGAAGACAAAGAAAATGCAGAACAGTTTTTGATGAAGCTGTTCTGAAAAGGAATGAAAAGGATTAAACAAGGAGCCTGCAGCAAAGTGAATGGAATTAAGAATAAAAGGGATGAAACAGTTGGGATAAAACAAAAATGAGGGAATGCGAGAAGTTGTATTTTAAAGATTTCTATGGGAATGATAGCAATATGTCAAAGAATAGAATAGAAACGAATGCATAAGCACCAAAGACAAACTGGATGTAAAGAAGTCATCAATGATGGAAGAATTTTGAAAAATTGGAAGGCTGCAGGTATACATGGTGTAACTGGAGAAATAGTAAAATACAGATGTGGTTTGCTTATGAAATAGCTGTGCAACTTGTTTAAAATGTGTGAAGACTTCATGTACACCTGGCAATGGAAGAATGCTGTTATTGTTCCCTTATACAAGTGGAAAAATAGCCTGAGTGAGCAAAGTCTGCAGGGGGTTTAATTTGTTAAGTGGGTCTGGGAATTTGGCAGACTAAAAGGGGACAAGAGAACAAGCAAAATCTAGCAAGTACAATGCAGCTTTATGCTGGGCAAAGGGTAAGGGACAGAGACCAGATTTTTGTTCTTCAGTGGCGCATCAAGAAATGTATGAATGTGAGGTTTACTGCATATTTGTTGATTCAGAGAAAGTGTATGCTAAGCTTGAATTATGGAACGGTGAAGATTGGTGGCTCAACATGGTAACAGTGGTGGATGGAAATAAGGAAGTATAAGAATAAATGAAATGCTTACTGAATGGTTCAACACTGAGAAGGAGTAAGAGAAAGATGTGTGATGTCCCATTGGTTAATATATTTATGGATAAATCCAGAAGGAATACTTGTGATGACAGCAGAAGTGTGCTGGTTGGGGGTGTAAACGTCTAAGTCGTTTTGCATGATGATGATGCATTGCTGGCTGAGAACCTGAATGTACTGAAATAAATGATACATAGATTACCTGATGGAACAGGGAGGATGAATCTGATAATTAATTGTTCGAAGACCAAGGTAGTTGGGTCTGTCAGAGAGCATGGAGTGCAAGTTATCCACAGATGGCAAAAAATTAGATCCAGTACATTCTTCACTATGGAAGAATGTTTACTGAAGATGGGAAAATAGATGAAGAAATTTTAAGATGTACAAACTCTGGTAGAAAAGTAGTGTACATTAAGTGATTTGTGTGAGAATGTTTGTTAAAAGAAGCCAAAATGGCTGCACGTAAGAACATGCTTCTGCCCACTTTGTTATATGGAAGTCAGAGGTGGGTGTATCAGGAGTTACATAAAATATAAGTTGGAAGCAGTGGGGATGATGAATTTAAGAAGTGTGCATAGTGAAACAAGAAGAAATAAGATCAGGGATAAATGGGTGCTGAATTAGTGCGGAATGAATACAAAAGTGAACGACCAATATGAAAACAGTACATCAAAGGGCCGTACCGTGGGAAGGAAGTGGGATATGATCGCAAAACAAATAGATGGAGGCGGACTGGATGTGTTGAGAGGTAGGGGAAAATCAACACTCCTCCAATAAAGTTTCCCTTTAATAAACTATTCCCATCCTACTCCTGCATATATGATTTTTGTTTCTTAAGTGAAGAACTTTCCACTTTTCCCTTCGTTACTTTCAGCCCAGTACTTTATCAAGATGATTTTGCATTTTATTTCTGTTATCAAAGGTATTAGCCATGTGACCCAATTCTATATCTGTGAATGGTAGGCTTTCCTTCCACCTCTCCATCCAAATCATAAGTAAAAATATTGAACAGAAGGGGACTTGGCACCCAGGACTGAATCTTGTGCCCCCCCATGTCCTCTCCAGTTTGAGGAGCAACCATTGATGAACAACCTGCTACATCTCCATTTAACCAATCCGCACATTGCTAAGTTGCTAATCAAAATGTTGTGGGATATCTTTTCAGGGTTTTTGCTAAATCAAGGTATACTACACCCACAGCATTTTCGGCCTTCAGGGAAGGGGCCAAGTAAGATTCCCAGAAGCTTTGTTCTGCTTCACTGCCTCTTCCCTTTCTATGAGCAACACCATCATGGCAATCAGGCAAACACCAGCATAATCCACAGACGGCCCATCTGTCTTTATCCGGGCAGATTCCATTCTCTGACCTGGGTTTGGGGTACTAGCAGCCATCTTCCGAGCTTTGCCTTTAGGCACTGGGGGTAGCAATTCCACTTCCTCCTGGGGCATCTGGGCAACTTTCTGCAGGAAGATCTTTTCCAAGGCTTGTGCCATGAGGACAATATCATCCGTTGGCTAGCAGAGAGGTACAGTGGAAAAATAAAGCATGAAATAACTCTAAGGGCCAAAGGCACACGCAAACTCAAATCCAAATGTCCACCCATTCATTGCTAATTCTTGGGACAGAGCTGTCTGGCCTCAGAAGGTTTGGGGCCCAAGGGAGAAAACTCTGAGCAAGTACTCCAGTTGGTAGTGGTGGAACAACCTCCTGGGCATAGCCCACTTTCCTGTAAATGCCATGAAGCTTTCCCAGAAAACAGCAGATTAGATCCTTTACCTTGTTGTAAATGTAACAATTGGTAAACATGGTGTTGAAATCCTGCATACATTCACTGGCACTCCAGTAGTAGTTGTGTTCCAGTCGTTTCTTGATTGTCCCCATGTCCATCGGGTTCTTAATTATTTTGTGGTAATCCTGTTGGGGAGGGGAAGCTGTCTTTTACTGGCATCCAGACATTTACTATATAAGATGGCTAGCAAGAGAGGCTATGTCAACATAATCCTTAAGGTTCACACAGCCTGAATTCTGAAAGTAGAAGGAGCAGTGATGGCAGTACCTGATTAAGTGTGAGTTTATTCCTATGTGTAGTGCAAGCAAAATAACATTTATAACACAGTGTAAACCAGCATCAACAGCAAGACAGTCTTAATAATCAATTGAAAATAATAATTAATTAATTATCTAACCCCAGGTAAAATGAGTGATGGGGGGGTGACAATAAATATCTGGAAATTCTTTTTTTCCCCTTATTTAATAATGATATATATTGCATATTTGGTTTTGCATGATATATAATTAACACACTGAATTTTCTTGCACAAAACGTGGTAACTGCTACTGGTTAAATAGATTTCTTTTTTAAAAAATGGGCAAAAAAAAAATTCATAGAAACAAGTGAAGGAATGCAAAATGCAAATGCAAATGATCCCCTACCCCAAGTGCAATGGACAAAGAGCAGCGGCGACACCACAATTTCATGTTTTCCTGGCTTTTATCAGAAACAAAATTTTGAGCCAGATGGGTGACTTTTGTTCAATAATGCCTATTTGGCTTCATTTTATTTGAAACGGGGTGCCAAAGGTTGCTTGAGTACAAGCCCCATCATTCCACATGACTGGTCATGTTTGCCACAGCTAAAGTTCAACAATATTTGGGATGGGGATTCATTATTTTCTTCTGGATTTCAAATAAATAAATAAAACAAAGCAATTAAGTGGGAAGGAAGAGAAAGTAGGTTGACCGGGTATTCTGCTTTGGGAATCTGGAAAGTTAATGCAAAATCTTGCAGGATCTGAGTGACTTAATGGAGCCAGTAAACCTGCTGCAAGAGATCAGAGAGCTGTTACGGTGTAGATGATGCAATATTTACTCTCCAAGGACGGGGTTGGGAATATCACAATTTGGTCTCACACACACACACACACACACAGAGCGACTACAGAATTCTCTTAGGAGACATAATGCTGACTGATGCTTCAGTACCCAAACTCCAAGTGCACAGGGAAACAGCAATGTTTCCATCTTCAGGAGCGTATGTCATACAAACATGCCTATCAAGCACGGTCTTCAGGTTGTAACCAGAGAGGTAAGAAAACCTTCTGAATCTTGCTCTGCACATACGTATGTAACCCTTAATTTTAACTCTGTTGCAGACTGATTCAAAGCACACCTTCACACAATGTGATTTACAGCATGTCCTGATTTAAAACTTAACCATGGTTCAGAAGTTAAATGTTATGTCTTGACAGGGCCTTAAAAAAGGGGAAAACCACACACACAAGAAATATGGACTCACCGGTAAATTTAATTTAATTGCATCAACTGGTTGATAGAAGGGCCACGCAAACTGATGCTTCCACAGGGTCTTCACCACCACATTTTGCATGTACTGCAGTTGGTTGGTCTTTCTCCCAGGCTTGCTAGGGTTGGTGACCTCTGGGGGAGGAGGATTGGCCGGCCCCTGGGGAGCCTGGATGGCCGATGGAAGGGCAGACATGGTTCCCCACCTCTTGGTTTCACTTATGCCCAAGGTTGCAGCAGCAGCAGCAGGTAGGAGGAGGTGATCTGACTTTTATACCCCCTGCATGGGATTGGCATCCCATTTCCAGGGACCAGCTATGCAGCCTGGAAAGGGTCGGGAGAAAAAACATTTCAGTTTCTTCAATGGTAAAAAGATGCAATTATGGAAAGCAAAATATTTGGTTGACAATGCATCCAACCTCCCCTTTTTTCATATTATATAACATGGTGCTCCAAATATAAGGTAAACCATGTCTTAGTCTCTTATCTTGTATCTCCATCACTCTCTATATCATCCAGGGCAGAGGAAGGGACAACCAGCTCCAGGAACATAAACCATCCATGTTTATGATTCTCAGTAGTCAAATGAATATGTATGTAATAAGCATTACATAGAAAGTCACATGCAGAACAGAACACTCCTAAAGATATAGAGACACTCCATTAGTGAAATAGAGGTAGTCACCAGGTTAAGAATACCTGGTTTAAGGACGACCCGTAGTTAAAAATGGAGCCTATTGTAGCAAAATTCGAGTTAAATATGCAAGGATTCAAGTTAAATACTTATACAGTATTATAATACTGTTCTGGCTTACATACAAATTTGACAGGACTACCTGTATTTATTAAGTATAATGCCGCCTAACAAATCACCTGGATGATTTTCAGAAAGAGAGCCTGAAGACGACTTCATGGACAACTGGCAAGATCAGAGATTCCACCATGACAATTACAAATATTAGTGAAAAGTGTTCTTAGCACTTCAATCGCATCTTCTCTATCTAAGGCCAGGGCTATTTCTTTCAACAGGGAAAAGGGAAAAATAACACACACTCTAAACTCTCAAACCAGTTCACCAGAACATAATTGCTATGTTTAAAAAACAAGCTCTGCTCCAATAAATAAATTGTTTTATGGTTCAATGATGGCTGGGTTCCCATAACACTGAAGCACCTTGTGTTGGCCTCATGTAGTGTGTTATACAAAACCTCATTGGAAATTTGAACTGGCACCCTCTTATTGTCTGCATCTTGAAGAAAGAGTCAGATAATCACACAATCACCAGTATAACTAGAATGTTTATTTTGGAAACTGAAGTCCATCTATCAACACTTGTCTTAGGCAAAGCACAAAATGGCAAACAGGCAAAAATATGTGGTCCCATATTTTATGGACCACATATTTACTCAAAATAAGTCTTTACTAGTAGCTAATACTGTTTCTTCCTATATAAGAAGGTCCATAACTGATTTTGTTCATTCTTCATCCTTGGAGGGATCATAGTGCAAGCAATGGGGTTCAGAGACAGTGGCCTGGTCCACATACATGGCAAGCCATACATTTAACATAATGTGGAAACCCACCAATTACAGTGCATTCG